AATAGCTTGAGATACTGCACCTGTAAATTGACCAGAATGACCCTCAATGCTTAGCCGTGAAATTCATACTGTCCCAGTAATGGGATATTGACATGCAAGACATTTTGGTAACCCACTACATAATGGATTTTATAGTTACTTTGAAGATACATACCAAATCTGAGGTCAAGGTCGGGATTGCTGCTGTTAACTATAGCTTCAGTGGTGTCATTTGTGATATCTCCTTCCTGTAACTGCACCAATATTTTACCAATCATCATCTGACACTCACCATTCCTCCTAGATTTCTGCTTAAATTGCATGAATAGTGACTTTTCTGTAAACAAATATATATTTTGGATAATAGTAAGGTAAAGATTATTAACCATCGTTTTCAGTACAAATTTTAAACTTATTAGTATGATATAATATGATCAACATATAAAAATAAAAATAAATTAATAACATTTTGGGAATTCATTATATAAATTAACTATCTAACTAACTAACCTACCTAAGTTGTGACCTGAGGCCCCTTGTAAATGTTGATGATATCCAGAATGAATGTATCTTTCATTTTTCCTGTGCTGCATTAGTGGACTACCATGCCCTGCACGTCCACCACTACTACCATGGCCATGCCGTCTCCTCAGCGATACCTTAGCCAATTTTCTTATCTCAGCTTCAAATGCCTGAAAGTAAATTTCCACTGGTCACAACATATACTCATAGCGTATGTTAACCACTGATTCCTGAAATTGTTCCACTGAATCAGACTTTTCACCGTCGAGATTCAATCTCTAATTATAAGATTTTAGCTTCTGGACAATTCATATTGGCGCAACAATCTTAGAAACAAACCAAAAGTATGATAGCTAGAACATAATGTTGTAAAATTAAAATGCTCTTTGAATAACAACACTGTGCGTTGTCATGCATAGTTGTTGACGCGAACAGAACAATTACCTTTAAATACATTGACCAGTAATTGAAATACGCATCAAAAAAATTAATTGAGCGATATTAGTTTTCAAATTGAATATCGGAAAACAGGATGTATTAGTTGGTTTTTATAGGTGCGTATCATTAGCATAACCTGGGAATTTGAAGAGAAGGGATATCTAGTCACTTCTGTTACACTACAAACCACATAAAATACATTTACAATACTGTACTGATTGAATTACTTTTATGAATAAGTTGTGCAATTCTAACTTGCATTTATTTTTTCAAAAAATCCTGTCAATAATGTTTATACAGTTCGTTGATTATATATGCATTAAAGTATAGTAATAGTTGAAAACACTAGAAAT